ACACACACACACACACACACACACACACTACTGGCAGCTGAGAGCTGACTTATTTCTGCCCACTACTATCCGGAGGCTGATTCTTCTGGTGGTCTGTAGGCCTCCAGTGACATCTACCCTCGGCTTTAGCCTCCCCCTTAGGCTGCCGGATGCCAGGTAGAGACACTCAAGTTCCCCATGCTCTGCCAAGGAGCAGAGGGCAGTGATACCCGCAATGATGTCATGGGGGAATACACCACTAACAAAGTTAGGATCTTCAGTCAGATTAGTTAGGAGAGTCTCATTTTGAGTAAGACATTTGTAAATCATTAAAATAAAGATCCAAGTGTGATAGCTCAAGCCTCTAGCCCCAGCATGTGGGAGAGAGAAGCAGGAGGATCTCCATGAGTTTCAGGCCATCCTGGTCTCTATAGTGAGTTCTAGGTTAGCCAGGGGCTAGTATAGTGAGATCCTGTCTCAAAAATACTTTTAGTTAAAGAGGTAAAAATAGATGGACTTGGGAAATTAACAGACTGAAAACTTCATTATTGTTACATTCGTAATAATAATGATTTGTACTTGTTGAAGAGAGAAATGTCCCTTAACTTCCTGTGACAATTTGACCCTGAGTATTATAACGTATATGTGAAAAGTATTTTTAATACTTATCTTTTTATTTATGTGTGTGCATGTGCACGCGTGCGAGTGAGTGAGTGAGTGAGTGTGTGTGTGTGTGTGTGTGTGTGTGTGTGTGTGTGTGAAGACATGTGCTCCTCTGTGTGGGTGTGTGTGAAGGCATGTGCTTTTCTGTGTGGGTGCACATGTGTGCAGATGCACAGGCCAGAAGGGGGCTTTAGATCCCCCAGAGCAGAGTTCTAGGTGGTTGTGAGATGCCGGATAGAGGTGCTGGAACTGAACTCTGGTCCTCTTCAAGAGCGGCAAGCCACTGAGCCAGCTCTCCAGCCCCTAACATAATAGTTTTTATTTTAAATATATGAGTACAAATAAGCATTGCCTTCTTAAGCAGTAAGGAGGGTGTGAGATCTCCTATATATGTGGGTGCTATAATCTCCCTTTTGGTTAATGATGTTTTCTCCGTGACATAGCCATGACAATAATTTTCTTTTTTTTTTTTTAATTTTCCTTTTTTAAAATTTTTATTTCATGTGCATTGATGTGAGGGTGTCAGATCCCCTGGAACTGGAGTTACAGACAGTTGTGAGCCGCCGTGTGGGTGCTGGGAATTGAACCCGGGTCCTCGGGGAGAGCAGCCAGTGCTCTTAACCGCTGAGCCATCTCTCCAGCCCTGACATTCATTTTCTAAATGCTTATGTCTGTCCACAGAGTCAAAGTCGTCCTTGACTTCCCACCAACTGTCAGCTTGTCTCGGCGCCCTGTGAACACGGTCCTGACAGAATGCTGACCTTTGTGTTTTGAGCGGTCATATCCCTCTGCCCTCCATGCCCTTGCATGAATGGTTCTTCCTACTTCTGTTGTTTGCCCTGGCTGTGAGGAGGGCTACCCACCACCCCACACCTGGCCTTTCAAAAAATACCACAGATATGTCATCCCATCTCTGAAAACGTCAACTCTCTTTCCATATAGGTTTCAGGCTCCCTCCTTGTGGCCTCCAGGAGAGCCTGATTGCCAATTTTCATCCAATAGATGTTGGCTCATGGGTTGAGATCTTCTGTAGACACTTGATCTTACCAAACTTTTCATCTTCTCAGTTGTGACTCTGCAAATCCTCATGTTCCACTGTGATAGTCTGAATGTAATTGGCCCCCATAATCTCATAGAGATTGGCACTATTAGGGGGTGTGGCTTTATTAGTGTGGGTGTGGCCTTGTTGGCAAAAGTGTGTCACTGTGGGGGCGGGCTTTGAGGTTTCTTATGCTCAGGATACTGCCCAGGGAGTGAGTCGATTTCCTGTTGCCTGCAAGATGTAGC